TTGCTTCGCAAGAGGAGTTGCAGAGCGGCGGGGAGTCAAAGCAACGGTTATGCTCCCGAATTTAAGCAATGAGGACAAACATGTGAACAAAGGAACAACGGTCGCATACATCGAATAATGTGTCGAAGCAACCAGTGCTTTCGCTCCCGCCGATTATGCGGAACCTGCACAGAGGAACCAAGCCCCTCCCATAGCTTTCAATATCAATCCCAGACTTCGGAATCATAAGCGAGAACGGCTCAAGGCCCTGCTCCTGCAATCCGAAGATTGCTTTCCGTCGTCATCAAAAATTCGGCAGACCCCAATCACGAAACATCGCATCATAAGTGAAGAAAATGCTAGACCAATCCGTCAGAGTCCGTACAGGGTTTCGGCGCGAGAACGTAAGGCCATAAAGAGACAAGTTTTTGAAATGCTTTGGAATGACATCATCCAGCCGTCCAAGAGTCCATGGGCATCCCCCGTGGTGTTAGTGAAGAAAAAGAATGGCACCCTACGTTTGTGCGTCGATTATTGCCGCCTAAGCAAAATTCCAAGACAGGACGTGTATACTTTCCCACGAATAGACGACGCACTTGATCGGCTCTATAACGCCAAGTACTTTTCGTCAATGTGCCTCAAGACTGGCTATTGGCAATTCGAATTCGACGAAAGAGACCGAGAGAAGACGGCGTTTATAACACCGGACGGCCTCTTCGAGTTTAAGGTGATGCCCTTCGGTCTTTGCTCAGCGCCTGCATCTTTTCAATGCGTTATGGATACAGTACTGGCAGGATTAAAGTGGCAGACTTGCCTTGTGTACTTGTACGATGTCATTGTGTTTTCTTCGAGTTTTGACGAGCATCTTCGGTGCCTTGAAGCTGTACTTCAAGTCATCAAGACGTCCGGACCCACACTGAAGCAAGAAAAGTTCAGATTTGCGTACGAGGAGCTCTTGTTTCTGTGGCACATTATTAGCAAGTCTGGAGTTCATCCCGATCCACGGTAAACAGCCGCCATTGCCGACCTCCCGCCGCCATCTGACAAGAAAGCAGTGCGCCGATTTCGGGGCCTGTGCGCCTATTATAGGCGGTTCGTGAAAAACTTTGCCCGCATCGCTGATCCTCTCACTAACTTTACCAAGGCCGACGTGGAGTTCAAGTGGGAAACGCCACAAGAACACGCTTTCCAGGAGCTTAAACATCGCCTCCAGACGCCTTCGTTACTTGCCCACTTCGACGATTTCACCGAGACAGAAATACACACTGACGCAAGCAGCGTGGGTCTTGGCGCCGTTCTTGTGCAGAGGGCTGCACAAGAACGGCGCCAAGGGTTATTTGAAAGGGTTATTAGTTACGCCAGTTGATCGCTATCCAAAGCAGAAGCCAATTATTCCACAGCAGAAAAGGAATGCCGCGCCATCATGTGGGCTACGTCGAAACTTTGCCCCTACGTCTACGGCAGGCCCTTCAAAGTTGTGAGCGACCACCACGCCTTGTGTTGTCTAGCCACCTCGAAGGACCCTTCAGGTCGCCTCGCACGATGGAGCCTGAGACTTAACGAATATGACGTTACTGTCATTTACAATCCAGCAAGAAACACTCCGTCGCCAACTGTCTCTCTCGTGCACCTGTCGACCAACCACCACCCGACGACGCGGATGACGACTACTTCTTGGAAACGATAACTACCGACGGCTTCGCTGAACGACAGCGGGCTGACCCTGATTTTAAGGCCCTATAGAATACCTCGAAGGCAGGACCGCTGAAGCCCCGAAGGTAGTTAAGCGCGCACTTGCGTCGTTCTTCCTGCGAAACGGTATTCTACAACAGAAAATCTTTTCACTGCTTTGAGCTAAGTACCTCCTTGTGGTGCGTAGAGCTTTACGACCAGAACTCCTGCAGACCCTGCACGAAGATCCAACGGAAGGGCACCTTGGTGATTCTCGCGTGCTCGCGAGGATACAAGAAAGGTACTACTGGCCACGTCTTACCACCCACGTCACTCGTTATGTGAGGACATGCCTGTACTGTCAGTGACGCGAGACACCGCTGACCAGGCGAGCGGGACTTCTGCAGCCAATTGAACCACCTTGCCGACCTTTCCAGCAGATTGGCATGAACCTACCGGGGCCGTTCTCGACGTCGGCTATCGAAAACAAGTGGGTCGTGGTAGCTACCCACTACCTCACCCGCTACGCCGTAACAAAAGCCCTTCCCAAAGACATTGCATCCGAGGTAGCTAAGTACTTCGTCGAAAATATCGTCCTACGTTCCGGCGCCCCGGAGGTCCTTATAACCTACAGAGCAACGGCATTCACTGCCGACTTAAGCGATCTTGGCATACAGCCAGACAAACCACCACCGGACGACAGCGTACGACCCACAGTCCAATGGCCTCACCGAGAGGCTTAACAAGACGATCGCCAACATGCTGGCAATGTACGTCGATGTCGAACACAAGACGTGGGACGCCTTTCTTCCGTACGTGACCTTCGCATACAACGTGGTGCTGCAGGAGACGATGCAGATATCGCCATACAAATTGGTCTACGGAAGAAGCCCGGCAACGAAGCTCGATGCCATGTTACCCAACGTCACCGACCAAGAAAACCTCGATGTGAGTGAGTACTTGCAACGCGCCGAAGAAGCCCGACATCTCGCACGTCTCTGTATCAAGAATCAACAGACGTCCCACAGCCGCCGTCACAATCTTCGACGACGCTTCTTGGAATACCAGCCCGGTGAACGTGTTTGGGTGTGGATGCAGATACGCCGACGTGGACTAAGTGAAAAGCTTCTGCGATTGCACTTCGGACCGTACAGGGTGGTTCGAAGTCTCGGCCCACTTGTTTACGAGGTTGTCCCTGACGGCATCACGAACTCTCAACAACGCCAATCGCGACCTGAAGTCGTTCATGTCGCGCGCCTCAAGCCGTTTTATGCGCGTTGACAAACTGAAACAGTGTTACTTTGTATTATTATTGTATCGTAATTAATTTATTGTTTTTTCTTGTATTATTGTTGTACCTTCATCTTCAGGTAAAGCATCGGGAATATGCCTTTTTCAGAGAGGGCATCGCCACGTTCCATTTCCCAAGGTTTGTTATCGTCCCGAAACAATACACGATTCTCAGCGTAGACCGCGCCTGCAGTTTTCGAGAAGGTTCCGGACTGTAGTAGATCATTTCGATAAGACCACGCCCACTGTGCGAGCGGTACAGATTGTTCTGGAACCTACGCCACCACCAGCGATAAGGCTAGAACATTCGACGGCAAGAGTATAAATGCCGACGCGCTTCGCCGCTTGTCAGTAGTTGATCGACAGCCGACGCTCCGTTGTGGTGACACGTATCTCAAAGTAGTACGGCCCCTAGCATGGGTCTGGTCTTAGCGAGCCGCAGGGCATGCGTTAACCATCGCCATGACGAGAACACAGTACTTTTAAAGGTCGCAACACTTTATTGTCTATGGTAACACCACAACGCAGCACAGCTGGTTGCAAAGACGTGATGGGAAAGCAAATAGGCTTACCCACGCCACGGACGCAAAGTACCACACAGGGTGCCACGAACACGTCTTTGTGGTGAAAGTTATTCACGGAGACACCAGGACCAAGGCCAGGTTGCTCTAGCGAGGGCAAAGGCGCTCGCGTTGGTTTCGGACAGATCGGGGTCGGCGTCACCTGGCCACGCACAAGGAACCCGCACCACTCTTCAGCCTAGTGCTTGGAAAGGTTGGCGAGATAAGGTAAGCGTTCGCTGCGGCCGCAAGGCGCTGTTGGCGAAGTCCGAACCAGCCCCACAGGGAGCTGACGAACGGAAATAAAAGCGTGCTTACCCCCGTGTCTTCCCGGAGAGGTCTGTGACCCGCTCTGAGACAGCGGAGGAGGAGAGCCGTGTCGGGACATGGGAACAGCAGAAAAGGCGACGAAGCCCATGCAAAGGCAGCAAGCTAGCCTCAATTCCCACAAGTTTATAACACAAAAAAACCTATATTAAGCTTGTTAGTTTCGCCTCGAGAGAGCGGGATCTCGTATTTTTGGTAAATGTACCATCACAGTGCTCCGTGTTACATTTATTGAACCTATAGTAAGTTAGGTTTGCCTTTAAGAGCAGGGTACACTTTAATTTTTTTAAAGTATATATAGGGCACAGTGACACCGTCAGAATATAACCAAACTCGTTTATCTACTGGTTAAAGATGATTGCCATTCTTTTGTTGATACCGGCAGGATACGAAGTGCCCAATTTGTTAGATGAACGCCGCCGTGTGCTAATGCTCAGTCAACCAGGATTTTCCTCAAAAAGTGCCGAGGTTACTCAGCTTGTGATGAGCTCACTCGACAACAAGACTGGGACGACATCAGTGAACGCCCGCGTAGCCCATTGGGACCTGAACGTGGCATTGCATCCTGTAACGAGGCGCGACGCCAACTCTTTCCCGAAGGTGCCACTGCTCCAAACCTCGCCACCAAGGTCACCAGCGGTTTGGTAGCGTCTGTTTCTAAGCTCGCTACTGCTTCTGCGCCGAGGTGATGGATGAGCGGACAAGACGACGGCGAGTTAAGGTGAGGTTTATGTACAGAATAGAAATGGATGCGATACAAATTCGGCACTGGGCCCGACAGATTAGGGACTCGAATAGCCGAGGTGTCTTTTCTTAGCGCATAACTAGGCTGATTTCTGACGCATAGGTCAGCTGCTGGCAATTCGCCCTTCCGCTTTTTTCATAGGCATCGGGTGTGCCTTTACATCACCAACGTTGAATCGAATCAGAAGCACTGCTGGCCATGGTGTAAGATTCCTCCAGTCAGAAGCCTCTGCCGGGTTGCGGCGGTTCCTTAATTGGATCCTCAATTCCCGAGCCGTTGCGCTCGGCTGCACCCAAGAAAGAGTGATGTTGCCACGCACTGCGTAAGACTCGCCAGCCTGAATGGCGCCGCTTGCATGAGGTCGTTGTGATTATGACGTCAGGTGGGCTAGCTCGCTGGCCTTAACACAGATTGCCTTTGGAGAGGCAATGACGTTCGGTGTGGACTCCCAGGAGCAACAAGACCCCTGCTGCCAGACAATGCACCGGAAAGACGAGCTGCGTTCACATGGCTCGGATGTCCGGCGAGCTCGTTCGCCATGTCCCTCCAGGTTTGCCTCCAGGACCATGGGGAAAATGAAGCTCCGGGCTCAGTTCTGTGAACACGTCCCATTCTCGAGGACACATCCCCCTGGCTTGTCGCCACAACTCGTCGACTAGCTTTGCTTGTTTCACGTGACGATTTTCAGTCTCAGCACTTATCGATGGTTCTGCAACTTCTCAAGAACAGTTCGAAATCAGAAAACACACGACACAAGCAACTGGCCTCAATTACCCGAGAGAACACCAGACAAATTATAGTACAACTTATACCTAGAGACGTGTCCTACGGAATTTCGTTCCCTCTACATCAAGAGGCACATGTGGGACAGAAGACTTCCAAACTGAGAATTCAAATTTATACATGTACAAGAACGTAATTAAATAAAATACAACATAAAGTTGCCCCCTTGAGATCACTCTGGACGAGAGCGGTCAGCTAAGGCAGTGATGAGGAAAAAATTTTGCCCTGACTCACCAGCGAAAAACTGAAAAGTGTAAAAGGTACTAACTAAAACGCTTGGCTCAATGTGTCTGCTTTAGCGTTTAGCTTTTTTTTTGTAGCGAACGCCTAAGTTGTGATGTTAGAATATCATGTTCCACCGCAGTAACCTGTCACTTTTGTGCGACATGTTATTTTACCAGGTTAAAGAACAGTGGTCCGTTTCGACCAAAAACCTCGAACCCGAGGCATGACAGGCTAGCTTTTGAACCGCCCACACGAGGCACGCGCAATCCTTTCAAGAGGTACTGTATGCCTCTTCTCTTCAGCTCACTTTTCGACTTAAATCAAAAGTGGCCTTTCGTTATCAGAACTGTCGTCACGGCACAATCTAACTCCCATGCCGCGATCACTCGCGTTGCATTGAATGACAAATCCCTTAAAAAATCGGGTGCCCGTAGAACAGGCTTTTCGCTTAGATTTATTTGGAAAGAGAGCCCACTACTTAGGCGCAGACAGTAGGACAGGAACAAGCACTTATACCAACCGAAAGTTTATTCACGATCTTTCTGTTTGCGTCTTTCTGTCCGCGTCTAAGTAGTGCGCTCGCATTTCAAAACAATTCATGTATTACCAACTCGCCCAATCAACGATATTAACAAATTTCGCTTAGGGCCTGTTGTAGCTTGCAAAACACATCCTCATTTTCTCAGTAGTATACAAATTTGACCGGCTTGGACTTTCGAAGTGCGTCAGTTAGAGGGCTGGCAATGCTAGAGCAGTTTTGCACGTAATGCTGGTAGTATCCAGCTAGGCCCAATAAGGGCTTTATCTCAGATTTAGTGGTTAGTCGTTGATAGTTCACGATGGCAGCTACATTAATTTCTTATGGTCTCCACCGGCCACGCCCCAGTACGTGTCCCAGGTAAGACACCTCGCCGCATACTAGGTGACATATAGTAGGTGTCATGGTAAGACCAGCTTGTTTCAACCTGTTCAGCACGACGCGTAAATGCTCAAGATGTTCTTTTGAATTGTTTAAGTAGATGGCGGCATCGTCAAGATATGGCACAGCAAACTCAGAGCGGCCATTAGGAACGTGGTCCATTAAGCCTGAAAAACAAAAGGGCACATTTTTCAATCAAAAGCTCAGCCTAAGTGGGCGATATGTTCCGGATGGAGAAATGAACGGAGCACAGCGGCTAGCTTGATCCGTAAAGAGAACTTGCCAATACCCTCGCACGAGGTCTAATGTGAAAGCATAGCTGGACTGTTACACTGTTTCTACCCTTTAATCTAGATTTAGTATCGGGTAAGCTTGGTCTCGAGTTATGGTGTTAAGACGCTGATAATCGATGCATGGCCTCGGATTCTTTCCCGGCATTTGAAAGAATATTACAGGGAATGAATAGTCACTCTTTCCCGGTACTGTGACTCTCAACTCCAGAATTTTTTCGATCTGCTCTTTCTTGATGTGGTTTTGAACAGGGGAACTTAGATAAGGCTTGCTACAGATTGGCTCCTCACAAGTTAGCTGGATATTGTGTTAAATCACCCTCGTGTTTTTTGACGGTCCGAAAACACATCTTCAAACTCGGAAACAATTCTTCTCATGTATTCCTTCTGGACTTCAATTAACTTAGGCTCTAGGTTCAGCTGTTCTGAGATTACCTCCGATCCTCTTTCGATTACAACACTAGAGATCAAAATTTCAGCTACCACTTCCTCTAAAACATTTAAAAGCAGATTTACGACCACTTGACGTTGAACGTGTGGTTAGATCGAGTTACTGTGGTAAATTGCGTTCGGCAACCTTCCTAATTTCACCTCATATTTGGTATCAGAAAGCTTCGATATTACTTTGGCGGGTCTTTCTAAATCAACCACAAGCGTGTTCCTTTTGGACTGCAGCAGCAACAATATCTGACCACCCACTTCAAAGGTGCGTTTCTTCGCCGATTTGTTGTAGTACTCCTTCGACAATGCCAATGCAGCCTTCATGTGGCTTTCCACAAGATCTTTTGTTTTTCCAAGCTCCTGAAGGAGGTCTAGAACATTCGCGACTACATTAGGGTCCTCGTTGAATCCCACTCCGGACTCATGTAGCATTCGCAATGGTGTTCTCAAACTCCTGCCATACACAAGCTCTGCAAGGCTAAAGCCAGTGCTCTCATGAGAAGCTGATCTCAAAGCGAAAATAGCGAGAAGAATACACGCTTCCCAGTCACATTTGTGCTCGTAGCAAAAAGCTCTGAATATCCGTTTCAGAATGAAATGCATGCGCTCTACTGGATTAGATTGCGGATGATGGATCGAGCTGTGCTCTACGTTTATTCCACATTTATCCAAAAAGTAGAGGTAAGGCAGCTGGTGAAGACACTTATGTAGTCGCATTGGATTTCAGAAGGAGATCCGACACGTGCAAATATAGATAGCAGTGCATCCACGACATAAGAGGGTTTGAGCTCCATAAGTGGTATCGCTTCTGGAAATTTTGTGGCTACACAAAGGGCCGTGAAGATGTACCAACAGCCTTGCCTTGACTCTGGCAATGCCCAACGTTATCAATTACTAGGTGCCGAAAAGGTACTTTGATAATTGGCACAAGCTTCTAGGGTGCATTCCAATTATCCGTGGATTTCCCCACTCTCTAACAAGTGCTGCATGAGCGCACAAAGCCTTTGATAGCCTTGCAGCATTTCGGACAATGAAACTCAAGGGAACCTCTAGCCTTGGTCTCCTTTTGTCGAGAAGCCTCCCACGCATTTTAATGTGCCTGTTCCAATAGTTGGCGACGATGGTTTTGTGGCACCTAAAGCTGCTCATTCTTGCGACCTAGCACAGTTGTGTAGCTCCAATATAGGAGCCCTGCCTCTAAAAAAAGAGGAACATTCTTTTTATTTTTTCCGAAGTTTACGCTTTCCATTATTGCTTTATTCTAGTGGTCCTCACGCTGCTCTCGAATGAGCGTTTCTTGATTAACACTGGACAGCTCACTCCAACTTTCTGCTACAGGCGAGAGCGTTGCACCCCTCTTGCTCTCATCCAATGGTGATATGTCGTCCTCTACGCCGACAGAGATGGCTTCATTGACGGGCCACTCGAGTGACTCCTCAGGAGAATTACCTGTCCGAGGCACCATCGCCTCGCCGGAAAGGTCACGCAGATCAGCCTCTTCAGCAGGTGGTGTTTCACTACCCAGAACGAGATCAAGGTCCTGCGAAAGCTTCCGTGGTGCGTGCTATCACATGAGGGCCATGTACGCTAAGTTGGAGAAAAACCACTTATTCAGCTCTTTCAGAAGCTGCTCAGAGTCATTAGAAAAAAAATATCAGAAAAACGATCGGTAAGCGGGGCAGACACAGCCACTTTGGTGCAAAGTTTACCGAACGGGCATTCATTAACAACCGTAGCAATTGGTAAGCAAGCTCTCTACTCCTTGGCGACTTGCCTAATCCGCGTTCTCCTGTAAAATCGACCGAAGACACTAAAGAAGAGTGGACAACGTCTACGATTGCCGCTGAGTCTAGAAGTGGTTGACACGTTTTACGTGATTCAAACGCCCATGTTGTATGAATGCATTGTTTTGGAACCTAACTCAATTTCTCCGCTTCCGTTCGCCTTCCCCTACAGGGTCCTTTCTGAAAATACGGTGTGAAGTGAGTTCCCGTTGATGAGGTTTCTTTGAAAAGCCCTCTTTCCTTTTAATCTTTTCAACGCACACTCCACGCTATGCAACTTTCAGTGAGCAATATACTTCTCATCCAACTCTGCTGCCTTGTTTAGCTGTACTTCAACAAGTTTGCACTGCAGCCAAAGCTTGACATCTTCACCGATATAGCTGTGGAATTGCTACAATGCAATGCATTCTACCACTCTATCACGATCGTCATAAACACCTTCACCCTTGAGCCATTCAATTAAATCAGCTTTAGGACCAAACGCGAAGTCAACGTTTGACTCATTCCCCTTTAAGCATACCGGGACCTTTGCGGGAAAGCCTCGGGTGACAACTTATAACGTCTCAAAAACACTTCCCTAACTTCGTTATAACTGTCAAACGTTTCCCTCGACAAGCACGTTATCATGTCGGGCACTTCACCAGGAAGAAGAGCTAACAGGTTCTGCGCCCAAAGAGACCGCTCTAAGGCGTTTCGCTCACAGACGTGTTGGAACTTGACGAGATACTTCGCCATGTCTTCACCGACTACGAACTTCGGCACTTGGCCCCGAATTTCCTGACCACTGACCCAAACTGTTGCAGAAGCTACGCTAGGCACCTGCCAACACTGTATGATTGCCAGTTCTAATCTTTTCAACTCCAGGCGCTCCTGTCTCTAGGCCTTCAAGGTGTTCTCGCCTTTCAGCTTCTTCACGTTCGCAAGCTTGTCGCCTTTCAGCCTCCTCGCGGCGTGGTTTGATATCCGTTCAGGTCTCATCGTCTTCCTTAGTCGTCACTCCGGCATCCCTCATGATCTCAATGATCACTTGCTTTCGTTTCGCATGGCCAAAAGTAAGACCAAGTTCCTCACAAATATCGATGAATTCATTCACTTTAGGGATCTGCATCGTTCAAACTAGCCTTTTGCTCTTTGCGCCTATTAAGAATCTACTTACCGCAACCGCTATAAGTTGAACAGCAAGACGCGCAAGCAATTTTTAACGCTGTCGTGTTTACACCCTCCACATTAACTTTCGTTTGAAAGCGCTGCGACTTGGCTGGAAACGATCGAAGCTCACTGTAATACTTTTCACAGCCCTTTTCCAAACTACTATTACCTGTGCTAGGGTAATGCGTTGAATTGAGGGGAAAACAACAGGCACTCACCGCATCGATGTCACTGATGCTGGCCGATCTCGCAGCTACCATCCACCGTTATAGAAGGCGCGACAGCAACACGGTCCCGAAGGTGCTACTGCCCTGAAATTCGCCGCAAAGGTCACGAGATGTTTGTTAGCGTGTATTCCTCAGCTTGCGACTGCTTCTGCGCAGAGCTGATGGACGAGCGGACGAGTGGCGTTAAGGTGAGGTTTATGTACGGCATAGAAATAGAGGAACACCGGGGCCGACAGCTTAGGGACTCGAAGAGTCGAGATGTTTTCTCTCTGATGCATACGTCGGCTGCTCTCTGACACATAGGTTACCTGGTGGCAACGCGCCGCTTTGCTTTTTTATAGGCTCCGGGTGGACCTTTACGTCACCAACGTCCAATCAGAAGTACCGCTGGTCGTGATGTCCGACTCCTCCAGTCAGTAACCACTGCTGGGTTGCATTATGATTCTCCAGTTCCGAAGCCGCTGCGCTGCGTTGCACCCAAGGACGAGTGATGTTGCCACGCATTGCGTAAGACTCGCCAGACTGAATGGGGCCGCTGCTTGACTTCGTTGAGATGATGACGTCAGGCCAGCTCGCTCGCTGGTTTTGACACAGATTGCCTTTGCAGAGGCAGTGACGTTCGGTGTGGACTCCCAGGTGTAACAACCCAGACAAGGAACCTATAAACTCCAGACGACGCCACACAGGAGCCATAGGGCACGGAGACGACGTCGGCATGTGGCCTAACCCGTTCACCTACGGGTTACAGGTGAGTAGATGCTACGGCAAATAAATTCGTTTGGACAATATTTGTTTATGGTGTTGCCACGCCCTCGGCTTGTTTGTCAAGTGTTTCATGACCCATGTGTAATATTGGTAAAACTGCTGCGACTAGCTGGCGACATTGAAGCAAGCCCAGGTCCCCATTCGTCGTAGCTTTCTGAGCAGCTCCAGCAAACAGCTGATGATTTAAAAGAATTCAAAGAAGACTGCCGAAATTATTAAAAATATTTGGAAGAACCAATCGTTCTAGATAGCAATACTAAATTAACAATCTTCACAGAGTTGTAACATTCCTCTAGTTGTAAACCGTTGATCTCGATAATCGCTCCAGAAGATCAACCTTATTCTGCATGGCTTCACAGAAAACACACAAGAAAACAGTGATTCGCTGGAAGAACTGGTTTGTAAAGATGTTTCAAAGCAAGGTGTGAAGATTGATTTCATAAAGATTGATAGAATTCATCCCATATGAAACCATAGATAAAACAATTGAAGGGCTATCGTTTCAAACCTGTAAACTGTACAGAAAAAATATAATTTTTCATAAACTGCTACAAACTTTAGCTTACCACCTTTTCCATTGGCGAAAATGTTTCTGTCCGAGTTCGTGATATTAGAAAAAAAAGCTATGGCAGGCAGTTAAAGCTAGAAAAGAGGCAGATGATAAGGTAGTTTTAAATTTTGAAAGATTGCGCATCAGTGAAGAAATCTACTCCTGGAATATTGAGAAGAAGAACATCAATCAAATACCATCTGCCTCCCAAGTGACAAATGAAAAAAAAGCAAACCTGAGTCACGGGCACCTCACCTCTGACCTCACGCAATGCAACATCGGCAGAAATAACTTTCATAAACGTTAACGCGCTTAGGCTGCTACCTAAACTATATTCACTTGAAATTTTCTTCTCGCTACAAATCCCGATTTTTGAGCTATCATGGCACATGGCTGGAGAAACATGTGAATGGTTTCGAAATCGCTACACCAGAATACTTCTTCATGCGCGAATATTGGCCTACACGCGGTGATGGGTTGGCTATTATGATTAAGCGCAAAACTCTTTTCACAGTTCTTTTCGATGTCGAGGGTGTTGAGGCGATCTTTTGTTGATTACAGTGTCCTGTTCACTATTTCAATGTCGGTTGCGTGTATCGTAGCACTTCGTCTAATATCAACATCTTAATTTCATTGCACATGTACACGCTTCACAATCTAAAAAGGGCTAGATTGATATTGCTTGGAGATTTTAACCTACCTGATAACGACTGGCGCACTATGGACTATCGCTCAAGATTGTCTGATGTAATTTTCGACATAATGTCGTCTTTTAGCCTGACCCGAAGAGTAGACCAACCTACTTGCGTAATAGCGTCTAGCTCTGCGATGCTATACTTTGTTTTTAAAACTGATCACTTTGGTTATATTCAGCTAAAACAATTCTTCTCGATTGATTCACTGACCACAAAGAAACACTCTGCAGTATTCCAAAAAAGCCAGACTAATTCACCTATCTGTGCAACTACCTTTCTAAACTTCTGTGCAGCTGATGACACCAGCGGACTAGATCACCTGAGTTTTAAATTTACCTCTTTTAGATGCCTATAGCTGACGAAAAAACATTGAGATTGAAGCACCATCGCAGAGGTTGAAAATATCTCAACCTTCTGCATTTGTAACTTTGTGCCCACTAAGACAAAACAAACAAGCAAACACAAGCCGTGGATAAATCAAGATATAATTCTCTTAGAACAAGAAGTGAAGCGCCTCAGAAAATGCCATAAAAACACCCCAACTTGGAACCCAGTACTCTCAATTAAAAAGTCAAAAACTTAAATTCCAAAATAAATAGGATGAAGGACACCTGTTTTAAATATTTGTCTCTTACTTTCCTGAGAAACTCTTCTCAAAACATTTGAAATTACCTAAATCTTAACCAAGACGCTGCCAGCCCACAAACATACGAAGAAAGTAAGCGTATAGCCTACTCAATAAACTCGTACTTTCAATCGACCTTCACAACAAGTAATGGAAGCAACCTGGATATATCTACCGCCTACAAAGGTACGTTTGAGCCAATTGAAATAGATGAGGTGGGAGTATTCACCCTGCTACTAAACCCAGATCATAAAAAAGAACGTCCCCAGATAACATTTTAAGTCAATTTTTAAAGCGCTATGCAGATCAAGTAGCAAAATACCTTTGTCTTATCTTCAACAAATCCTTAGAAACTTCTTCCCCTCCTACGAACTAAAAAAAATGCCATGATACTCTCTGTACACAAAGTCGGGTAGTAAAACAGATGCCTGTAACTACAAAGCCATCTCATATACCACCACTGTTTACAAAGTTTTTGAATATATCAACCTCAAACAAAACCATGAATCATCACTTTGTCAACACGGATTGTGCCGAGGACTTTCTAAAATTACGTATTTATTAGAACTCGTACATAAACTATCCGAGAGCATCGACCGCCAAAAGCAAACTGACTTAATCCTGCTCGACTTCTCTAAGGCTTTTGACAGAGTATCCTGCCCATTAAAGAACCCCAGGTGGTCAAAATTTCCGGAGCCCTCCACTACGGCGTCTCTCATAATCATATAGTGGTTTTGGGACGCTAAATCCCACATATCAATCAATCAATTGACAGAGTACCCTACGCGAAATTTAGCCCCTCGACGGTGGTCTTGTGGCTAAGGTACTCCGCTGCTGACCCACAGGTCGCGGGATCAAATCCCGGCTGCGACAGCTGCATTTCCGGCGGAAACGAAAATGTTATGGGCCCTTGTCCTCGGATTTGGCTGCACGTTAAAGCACCCCAGGCACTCGAAATTTCTTGGAGTCCTCCACTACGGTGTCTCTCATATTCATATGGTAGTTTTAGAACGTTAAACTCCGGATATCAATCAATTACGCAAAATTGATCAGAAACTTTCAGTATACAATAGGTGACAAAAATTGCTGTATGAACTAAAAGCTAGCTGTCCCTTAAACTGAACTGAGTTCGTCTAAGTGAACTGCGAGTAATCAGAAATCACTAAGGTAGCCTCAGGCGATCCTCAAGGTAGTGTCCTCGCCCCATCGAATTTTTCATATTCATCAACAATCTTCCTGGAGTTGTCAGTACTACCATAAGAATACTCGCGGATGATTGTGTAATCTATTCCGAAATCAGTTCGCCTGAAGATCACGAGATATTGACTTGTGCAATAAAATCTATAACAGAATGATGTCATCAATGGCAACTGACCATCAATGCCAACAAATCAGCCGGCCTGTGGCTAACTAGAAAACAAAAGGTCTCGCTATACCCAGAGCCGACAACGCCGCATTTGCAAATGCTCATGAATACATTTATTTAGGAGTGGTATTTTCAAATACCCTGAGGTTCAGCTCACATGTTATTGTCATAACACGACAAGCATCGAAAAACTTTTTTTTCTTCGAAGACGGTTAAGACCTGCAACTCCGAAAATTCAACTACTCACTCACAGCATCTTTGAGACCCGTTCTAGAATTTGCAAATGCTGCCTGGTTTCATATACCGAGAAAACTAGTTAATACAATACAGAGAGCGCAGAGAAAGGCAATACAATTTGTTCATAGTGAGTATAGCCAAACTGCTCGACCATCTCATCTGATCAAAACAGCTTGGCTACTAACCTTACAAAATTGTTCCAAGCTAGCTCGTCTGAAGGTAATACACCAGCTGATGCATAACTAACTGTCCATAGATAGCACACACAACCTGTCCGAATTCGTAGCTACCAGACCCGTCATAAACACACAGCTACTACAATGCTACCACTTTAGTACCTAATGCTTCAGGTTTAAACTTTTTCACTTGTAACCTCAGAAAGACATGAAATACTCTCTCATAGTATTCACAGTTTAGCACTAGAAACGTTCCTACAATCAGTTGAGTCGCACCTACTCGCCTAACAAGTACATCTCTCTTGCTTTATTTAATTAGATTGTAAATACTTTTTTTTAATTTTTGCTGTTAGCAGTTTATCTCAAATTTTTTAGTGTGTGAAAAATGTAACATGTATATAAAAAATTGTAACCAGTTACGCATTCTTCTGCGTTTTACATCTTCGTTATTCGATTGTCTAACTTTAGAAATGTAGAATTTGCCTGTTTTTCCAAGTGTCATTTTTTTGCTTCATAAGTTATGTATTGTATTGGCTGCCTCCCTGCTATAGTCCTTTCGTAGGATTGGCAGTATCAATAAATACACGAATGAAATAAATAAATAAGTTTACGGAGCTTCATGTTATAGCATATAAAACTTAACGTCAGCTTCTAGTTTGACCTTCACGGGAACGTGATCGTTCATTCACGTTGGCAGTACCGTTAGAGTGCATGTAATAAGAAAAAATTGGCAGATCCCACGTACGGTGAAAATCGAAGATATGCAACGCACGAAGGAGAAATGTTGATGTGGCACTTTAAAATAAGCACAACGCTACAAGCGCAATGTGCATTATGCCTTACTTGATTTTCATGTCATGATTATCATGTTTGGATGTGTCGTTTAATTTTGTCGTCTGTTCACGTCACGTGATACTAAATTTGGTAGATGTGGAAATAGGGAAGCCACCACGAGTGGGCTATGAGCGTAGCACGTAGCCATGTTTTGCATAAGACGCACGTCACGACTAGCATGTTCTGACGTGTCAATTACTTTCATCGTCCGTTCACGTCTTCTTATACCAAATTTGGTATATGTGTAGCTAGTCAAATGGCTGCTAGGGTATGTAGTCATGTTCTTACATGACCGAAAGTTCATGATCATTGTGTTTGCACCAGTCATATACCGCTGTCAATCATTTACCTCACTTAATTCCAAATTTAGTACATAAGAAGCTAGCAAAATGACCGTGACAGCACCATGACCGTATGTCCTCTACTCATGACATATCACATGCGTGTCAATATTTACATGATAGGATATGTATGTCAAGTTCGCCATGCAGTCATATCATAGTATACCTGTTTGCAGTATCATGTAAGCGTCACCAACCTGAGAGGAGCAAATAATTAAATTTCTATAATTACTTTATAGACATACAATTCATGAGCTTGATGTTATGTCTAGTCACTTATGCCCGTTATACAGTCATGTTATGCCGCACTAAATTTGGTATAATTATCATTATTGAAACTGCCAAGAGAGCTTGAACCCTAGGTGGTTAGGTACACAGATAGATAAATAGATAGATAGATAGATAGATAGAGAGATAAATAGATAGATAGATAGATAGATAGATAAGTAGATAGATAGATAGATAGATAGATAGATAGATAGATAGATAGATAGATATGCTCAAAGTCGCCGAACTTCTTCAAGATATGCTTCGCCTTTATTATATAAAACCTATAGTAGGCTTGTGAGTTTGTTCTCGAAGAGAACAGAATCACGTATCTTAATTAAAAGTACCACTACATTGCTTCTAGGATGACTGCCAGTTGGGCGTGTTGCTATAGTTCATGATGAGACAAGCGCAAAAATACACACACTAAGAAAGGACACTGACAAGCGCTTACAAGCAACTGAAAATTTTATTTCGAAGTGAACACTAATAAACACATCACACGCATGTACGTCATTCCCTACTTCCCCTTTCATCATCACCAACGTGATATCACAAAATATGCACGCGCCCACAAGTGGAAACAAACACGTGCCAAGAACTCAGAAAAAAAACGAAAAAAAATAAAGAACAGAAACGTAACATAGAGAAAAACACTAGGTTATGTTGCTTCGTGTTATAATACATTAAACTTATCCTGAGCTTTGTATCGTGTTAGCTGCCTGTGCATGCGTCTTTTTATATCTGCCTTTTGCTTATCCCTGTTCTGTACCGCTTGGCTGTGATAATGCAGCTGCCCCACGATATATATATACCGGCACGCTGTCACAAAAGTTTTCTTCATTGTTGCTTCAAGGCTGCGTGTTTACTGCTGGACACCGGAACATGGTGTCAGAAGTGGGATCGCGTTCGCCAAAGCAGTGACAACAGGCAGAGAGGCCTCACCGTGCACCTCCATGATGGAACTACTGAAGCCACCGCAGCCATTGGTGCTCTCGGGAAGTACAGCAAAGAACTGAAGCCTTTTCAAGCAGAGGTTCGAGCTGTTCCTGCAGGCCACGGAGCCATCGAAAGAACCAAGGTCGGAGGCAGCCAACACAGCACTCCTGCTCAGCGTTGCCAGAGAGGACGCCCTAGAGGTATTCAACAACTTTGTCTTCTTTGAGAACGAAAGCAAGGAAGATTACTCAACTGTTACGAGCATGTTTGAGGCGTAGTGTCAACAGGAGCAGAACGAAGTATACGAGCGTTATGTTTTCCGCTCAAGAACGCAAGCAGAGGGGGAGCCCTTTGAGCATTTCGCCCGGGACCTAAGGCGGCTTGCACGAAGCTGCAATTTCGGCACCTTGAGTGACTCCATGGTCAGGGACCAGATTGTTTTTGGAACAGTTAATCCGAAATTGCGCGAGAAAATGCTCAAAGTTAAAGATCTCACGCTACAAAAAGCGGAAGGCATTTGTAAGGCCGACGAAGTATGCCCTGAGCAAACTAATGCCTGGGCTGGTACAGAGAAGGAAGTAGTGCCGATCAAGATGCACCGGCAGGCCAAATGTGCAGCGTGTGAACAATATTCCGAATGTGCCGAGGAATGTAGGGTGGAACCCGAGAAAGCAATTGCACATGTTAAGGCACGCAGACAATTCAGGTGTTCCCGGTGCCATCGTTCCCACGAGCGTGGAAAATGCCCAGCCTTTGGCAAAACTTGATTTCTGTGCCGGGGCGCTAACCACTTTGCTTCCTGCTTCAAGAAAGGGCCTCAAGTCAGGGAAGTACGCGACGAGCAAGATGACTTTGACATCCTCGATGTCAACGTTGGCAGCAAAGCTGATTGGCTGATCAATGCAACAATGGCTTCCAAACAAGTGTCTCTTAAGGTTGACACAGGCTCACAAGCCAACTTGTTGCCTCAGTCTGTGTTCCAAAGCCTAAAATCGAAGTCCAGGTTACGGGAAAGCTCCTCTGTTCTGCGCTTATACAGTGGCGACGCTATCAAGCATATCGGTTTTACTACGCTACAAGTTGTCGCGAACAGCCACACCGGTTACTTCGACTTCTTCATTGTTAAGAAGAGCACCCAGGCCATCCTGGGGCTGTCGGCGAGTGAAGCTTTAGGACTGGTCTCTCGTACTGTCGACGTAGTGAATACACGCAGCACCATCCAAGCGATGACAGAATTTCCCGAGTTGTTTCAGGGCATTGGCTGTCTAAAACGCCAGTACCACATGGTTCTTCGGGGGGATGCAACCCCGGTAGTCCAACCGGTACGACGGGTGCCCCAGGCCCTGCTCCAGCCCTTGCGAAAGGAACTGGACCGCATGGAGCATGAAGGCATCGTGGTCAAAGTCAGCGAACCGACAGATTGGGTGAGCCCCTTTGTCGCCGCGAGAAAAAAGGATGGTAAACTGCGTGTCTGCATTGACCCCAGGTGCATCAAAGAGAGCTTAAAAAGAGAGCACTATCAAATGCCAAAAAGCGAGGACATTGAGGCTGAGCTGGCCGGTGCCAAGTTTTTCTCTCGCCTCGACGCGCAATCTGGATTTCACCAAATTCCTCTAGATAAGGCTACTTCGAAGGTGTGCACGATTGGCACGCCGTTTGGGCGCTACCGTTTCCTAAAGCTGCCTTTTGGTATAGCTTCGGCACCTGAGGTTTTTCAAAAAACCATGAATGAAATGTTCGACCAGGAGTGCGAATATATATCGACGATATATTGATATGAGGTAGCACGAGGGAAGAGCACGACGCCCGCCTCCGCACAGCCTTGCAGTTGGCCAAGAGCGCCGGCCTAACGCTCAATGCTGCTAAGTGCTAATTCGGGGTCACCGAAATCGACTTCTTGGGCGACGTGATAAGCCAAGACGGGATCAGACCTAACCCCGCAATGACAACAACATTAAGCGAGATGCCGCCACCAGTTGACAGAGCCGGCTTCCACAGACTGCTAGGGGTGGTCAACTATTTTGGTAAATACATACCGCATCTGGCGCAAAGAACGACGCTCCTGCGAAGCCTCCTTAAGAAAGACACCACCTTCGAATTGTCTGAGAACCATGCCCGCGAATGGAAATCTCTTTGCGCTTTACTGAGCACTGCACCGTTGCTAGCCATTTTCGATCCTCCTAGGGAAACAAAGGTCGTCGCAGATGCTTCGAAAAAGGGCATCGGTGCGGCTCTCCTTCAGCGTTATGACGACAATTGGCAGCCGGTAGCCTACGCGTCCCGCACAATGACCGAGACTGAGCAACAATACGCACAAATCGAAAAAGAGGCAATGGCAATCACTTTTGGGAGCGAGAAGTTTTTTCACTTCGTATACGGCCGCAAATTCGTCATTAAGACGGACCACATACCGCTAATAGCAATTGCTTCGAAGGCCATTGGTGACATGCCGCCACGACTTCAGCGGTTTTTTCTGCGTTTGCTCAGATTCGATTATGTTCTTCACTTTGTCCCAGGTAAACAAATGTTCCTGGCTGATATTGTCGCGGGTTATAAATGACAGGGGGGTTTATTTAAAAACACGGACAGTAGGACTTGTAGAGACGCTCTCAGAGAAGGCCGCTAAGATTGTCCTCTTCTTCACTCTGCTGCGCTGCGCCTCTCGAGCGAATCCGCGTTCTTCGTTGTCGTCGCTATCTCGCCGCTAAATGCAGCTATGCACGCAGCATTACCCTCCCGCCAGAGTGAGCGTCGTCCCGACGCTCAACAGGTAGAGATGCGGCCATCGAGTGTTTATATCACTGAGAGTGGTAAAGTTTCATGCGGACCACGTGCACTGTTTCAGGCAGACGCTGGCGACGTTTTGAACAGGAGGAGGCGTCGGGCACGACTTCGTACGTCACGTCGCTAAGACGACGCAGAACCTTGTAAGGTCCGAAGTATCGGCGTAGAAGTTTCTCTGAGAGGCCTCGTCGTCGTACAGGAAACCAAACCCAGACTCTATCTCCTGGTTGATAAATGACGAATCGATGGCGAAGGTTGTACCGTTGGGCGTCAAGTTGCTGCTGATTCATTATTCTGACGCGGGCAAGCTGCCTTGCTTCTTCGGCGCGCTCAGTGAAGTCTGCGGCGTCTGTCTCTGAATCATTGTAATCGTAAGGCAGCATGGCGTCAAGCATTGTCGTAACTTCTCTGCCATGAATTAGTGCGAACGGCGTCATTTTTGTTGTTTCCTGGCGCGCCGTATTATACGCGAATGTGATGTACGGCAGTATTCGGTCCCAATTCTTGTGTTCTACGTCGACGTACATGCAAAGCATGTCAGCGATTGTCTTGTTAAGTCTTTCTGTAAGCCCATTAGTTTGTGGGTGGTAAGCTGTCGTCTTCCTATGCGCTGTGCCACTGAGCGTAAGCACAGTGCGCAAAAGCTCGGCTGTAAACGCGGTACCTTTGTCTGTTATGACGACAGCTGGAGCACCATGTCTCAGAACAATGTTCTCAATGAAGAACTGAGCCGCTTCAGCTGCAGTGCCACTCGCGATTGCCTTGGTCTCCGCGTATCGGGTGAGGTAGTCCGTCGCCACTATAACCCATTTGTTGCCGCTGTCCGATGTTGGGAATGGGCCCAGCAGATCCATTCCGATTTGAGAAAACGGGGTTTCTGGCACGGGCACAGGATGTAATAGCCCAGCGGGTTTGATAGGTGGTACCTTGCGCCGCTGACAGTCAATGCATGTTCGGACGTACTGTTTAACCTCTGCTGCGATTCTTGGCCAGTAATATTTTTCTTTGATGCGTGTCAGTGTTCTTGTGAAACCGAGGTGGCCCGCAGTGGCTTCGTCATGGCAGGCTTGTAAAATTTCGCTGCGGAGAGCTCCAGGAACTACCAGCAGATAGCTTCTACCTGTTGATGAAAAGTTCTTTTTGTACAGAATTCCGTCCCGTAAACAGAATGACGATAAGTTCTTCGAAAACACTCTTGGTGCATTGGCGGCTCGTCCATTCAAGAATTCTATAAGCGAGTTGAGCTCCCGATCATCTTGTTGTTGCCGAGAAATAATAGCTGCATCAACAACTCCTAAAAAACCTGGGAAATCATCATCCTCTATAGCCGGTGATTCAATCGGTGACCTTGACAAACAGTCGGCGTCTAAGTGTTGCCTTCCGGACTTGTACACTACGGCCATGTCGTACTCTTGGAGCCGTAAGCTCCACCGTGCTAAACGTCCAGATGGGTCTTTCATGTTGGTCAACCAACAAAGAGAGTGATGGTCGCTTACGACTTGGAAAGCGCGGCCATATAAGTACGGGCGGAACTTCGCAACTGCCCAAACGACGGCCAGACACTCCTTCTCCGTTGTTGAGTAGTTGGACTCGGCACGTGTCAACGTTCTGCTAGCGTAGGCAACCACTCTCTCCACACCATCTTGGCACTGGACAAGAACAGCACCTAGGCCCACATTGCTGGCGTCTGTATGGATGGCTGTTGGTGCATTCTCGTCGAAGTGAGCGAGGACAGGTGGAGTTTGTAGACGCTGTCGCAGCTCGTTGAATGAAGCTTCTTGCTCTTCACCCCATACAAATGCGACGTCTTCCCTTGTAAGGCGGGTGAGTGGAGAGGCGATGTGTGCAAAGCCTGCTATAAATCGCCGGTAGTAGGCGCAGAGACCCAGAAAACGCCTGACCGCTTTCTTATCAACAGGCCTTGCGAACTTTGCGACGGCTGCTGTTTTATCTGTGTCAGGCTTCACACCTTCGCGACTGATCACGTGTCCCAGGAACTGGAGTTCTTCGAAGCCGAAGTGGCATTTTTCCGGTTTGAGTGTGAGTCCAGCGGACTGTATGGCTTGCAGGACTGACAGTAGCCGCTTTAGATGCTCTTCAAACGTGGCCGAAAAAACGACCACGTCGTCGAGGTACACAAGGCATGTTTTCCATTTCAGGCCGGACAGAATGGTATCCATTAGTCTCTGAAACGTGGCTGGGGCTGAGCATAGACCGAAAGGGAGGACTTTGAATTCATAAAGCCCATCTGGCGTCACGAAGGCGGTCTTTTCTCGGTCGCGCTCATCTACTTCTATTTGCCAGTATCCACTTTTAAGGTCCATTGACGAGAAGTAGCGTGCATGCCGTAGCCTGTCCAAAGAGTCATCGATCCGTGGTAATGGATAAACGTCTTTTTTTGTAACATGGTTCAGCTTACGATAATCGATGCAGAAACGCAAGCTGCCGTCTTTCTTTTTCACGAGTACCACTGGAGATGCCCAAGGACTTTTTGATGGTTGGATAACGTCATCGTCTAGCATCTTCTTGACTTGCTGCTGGATTACCTCACGTTCTTTCTGAGCGACGCGATAAGGGTTCTGTCGGATCGGTCTTGCTGTGTCTTCTGTAATTATACGATGCTTAGTCAGAGGCGTTCGACCCACTCGTGATGTCGATGAGAAACAGTCCTTGAACTGGTCGAGCAGCTCCATAAGACGGCATCTTTCAGTCGGTGTTAGACTCGGACCGATATCAACTGGTGGTGTATGTGGAGGTGATTAAACTGTGGCTTCCCCTTGCATTAGAAGACAGTCGTGAGAGTAGTCCAGCTCTTCGAGGTACGCCACAGCCGTGCCTTTACCGATGTGCCGGCGCTCATTCGTGAAGTTGGTCAGAAGCACGTCTGGGCGCCCATCCACTAAGCTGACAATACCGCGAGCGATGGCGATGCCTTGGTGAAAAAGAAGGTCAGTGATGCGTTCGACTATGGCGTCTTCATTACAGTGCACGGCACAACACACGGAAACAAGACTACATGACAGTGGTGGCACGCAGACGTCGTCGTCGACCACACGTAACACCCTGGGTTCTTGGTCTGGATCAGTGGTCACAGACTTGTCAGCGGCAAATGTGATCACACCGTCGCGTATGTTGACCACAGCACCGTACTCTCTTAAGAAGTCTATTCCCAGAATCATAGGTTTGCAGCACTCCGGTAGGATCAGAAATGTGGCTACAAAAGCCACATTCTCAATAGTGAGTCTTGCTGTACATTTTCCCGTGGGAGTCATTATCTGGCCTCCAGCACTTCGGATATAAGGGCCCGTCCATTCCATCCTGACTTTCTTGAGTTCGTCTGCCAATCGTTCACTCATTATGGAGAAGTCTGCACCCGTATCGACTAAGGCCGTCACTTCAACGCCGTCAATCGTCACAGCAAGGTCGGCAGTCACAGTTTTTTCGGCGAAGTCTTCATCGTCGTCTCTCACGTGTTTCGGCAGCAGTGGGGGTTTTTCGGCAATTCGACGGCTTGCAACCTTCCCTCCAGAGGTCGCTGCTTTCAGTTTCCCCGCCGTGGGCTGGGAGACCGACCTCTGACGGCGTCAGCAAAACTACGGCGGCTTGGTGAACCAAAGCGAGCCGGTGATGGTGACCGCATCCGGAAGGTAGAAGAGCCTTCCCGCCTGCCAGCCTGGTCGTCGTCGATGGGGGCACGGCTTTCGTCGAACTGTCGGCGCGTAGCTGTAGGTGCACTACCGCGGTATTCAGCTCGGCGATGTGGGCAAAAACGGCAAATGTGCCCTGGCTCTCCACAGTTGTAGCAGAGTGGTCGACGATCCGCAGTGCGCCATATGTCGGTCTTCCGCATATAGGGTCGCCTGACAGAATCCTGCTGAGCCCAGGCTGCCACAGGATACGGTTCGAGGTACTGCGGCGCTGGCATGGGCGTGGGTCGACGAATAGCGTCTGCATAGCTGTATCCGTTCGGCTGGTACGATACTTCTGGAGCCAATGGACGACGCACAGCATCTGCATAGGTATACGAGTTTGGACGGTGCGGTGGAGCAGAATATTGCTGAGGAGAGGCAAACGCTTGTCGAAGTTCATGGCGAACTATTTCAGCGACGGAGGCTACCGTGGACTCCTGCTGCGGGGGCGCCTGTGACTGCAATGTGTATTTCGCGTTCTCCTTCGCGATCTCCTCACGCACGATCTGTCTAATCAGGTGGCGTAGAGCAAACTCGTCGTTTGCGGTAAGTGCGGCGGCGCCTGCAGCTGCGCCGGTGGCCGGGCGATCAGACTGTCGGTACCGCTGCTGTAGCGCACGCTCTATTGCGGTGGCCTCCCTGGTGAACTCGTCCACTGTTGTCGGTGGATTGCGCACAAGACCAACAAATAGCTGCTCTTTGACGCCCCTCATGAGATGGGTTAGCTTTCGAGCCTCGGGCATGTTGGGGTCCGCGCGGTGGCACAGGCGCACCATATCCTCAGCAAACATGGCGACGCTTTCATGCAGCTGTTGGGTGCGTCCTTCAAGAAGGCGTTGTGCGTTTTCGCGTCGGTCCGCGTTACCGAAGGTGTCAAGAAACCGACGACAAAACTCCTCCCATGTCGTCAATGTTGCCTCCCGGTTTATAAACCATGTCTTCGCGCCGTCTTCAAGGGTGAAGTATACGTGGAAGAGCTTTCCATCGAGACTCCAGTAGTTCGATTTAGCTACCCGTTCGAACTGCTCAAGCCAGTCTTGTGCATCTTCGTTCGGCCGGCCATGAAATGGTTCAGGAATGCGCATATTCTGGACCGTCACCTGTGCAGGACTCCTTGCCATTTCTTGAGTAGGGGTGGTTGTCGGAAGTGTTGCTCCCTTTAAAAGGCCAAATTCTGGTTCAAGACCTTGAAGGCGACGGCTTGAGCGGTGCACAGGCGTCTCCACGCGTGGCTGTCTCGTAGGGCTGGACTCGGGGCTTCTCACAGGGGTGCTGATCATGGGGTGGTAGTACCCAGCATCTCCACCAGTGTCGCGGGTTATAAATGACAGGGGGGTTTATTTAAAAACACGGACAGTAGGACTTGTAGAGACGCTCTCAGAGAAGGCCGCTAAGATTGTCCTCTTCTTCACTCTGCTGCGCTGCGCCTCTCGAGCGAATCCGCGTTCTTCGTTGTCGTCGCTATCTCGCCGCTAGATGCAGCTATGCACGCAGCAATATAATATCTAGATCGTCACAAGTGGCACCGGGCACTATGGATGACTTCACAGAGGATGTTGACGTTCATGCAGTGAGCGTGTCTTCAGACCTGGTAAGCAAGAAAATGTTTGCTAGTCTAGCTGAAGCAACGGCTGCTGACCCAGATTTACGAACTGTGCTGCACTGCATGAGAAACGGTGAAGAACTACAAGGCTGCTTGAAACCATTCAGCTCAGAGTTGACCGAAGTTCAAGGGATGGTCCTGAAAGGAACAAAGATCATCATTCCTAAGGCTATGAGAGCTGAAATACTGGGTCGCATTCGTGAAGGTCATTTAGGCATAAATAAGTGCAAAGCAAGGTCCCGTCGACTGGTATTCTGGCCAGGCCTGAATGGAGACATCGGAAATCTAGTGAAAAACTGCGCTGTTTGCCAAAAGTACGTGTACAGACAACAAAGTGAACCGGTAGTGCTCAAGCTAACCCCAGAGCATGCCTGGTACAGAATTGGCGTTGACATCTTTATGTACGCCAGTAGGTCCTACCTGTGCGTGTTTGATGCGTTTTCAAACTTTCCTGAAGTCGAAAAGCTGCCGGACACAACGACGGGCACGGTCATAAATAAACTTAGCTCAATCTTTTCTAGATATGGAATTCCCTTAGAAGTCTGCACTGATAACGGCCCCCTGTTCACATCCCATGAATTCTCTTTGTTTGCCTCCAGATATGACTTCACGCACGTGACTTCATGTCCAAGATTCCCGCAGTCAAACGGGCTCGCAGAAAAAGGAGTTCAAATCGTTAAAAGGATCATGAAAAAGACTGGTGAAAGGAAGGAGGACTTCTGTCTTGGTCTACTCAGCTATCTCTCGACGCCACTGGACGAAGGCCGATCTCCAGGAGAATTGCTGCAGGGCAGGAAATTGCGCAATCGGCTGCCCGAATTCAGACCGTTCTCTGGCCACCAGGACTTCAGGCGTCAGTCGCGCCAACCTAAGTCGTCGAGAAGAAAACCCCTGCCAGAACTCAACAAAGATGCAGTCGTAAGAGTTCGTGGGGATACATGGGATCGCAAGGCTCGTGTTTTGGATAAGGTGGCGCCAAGGTCTTATCGCGTCTTCACAGAAGACAGTCGGGTGCTTCGACGGGATCGGCAACACCTTCTCGCCACACGCGAATCTTTCCAGAGGAACGAAGCGGAGGACTCATCCACCGACGAAGACATGTTCCAGGAAAATTCATGGTCGCCGTCAGTGGTACAACCTGCGTCAACAGGAAGTTCACCGGAGTCGACGACGTCAACCCCAACGCTAGAACACCAACCAAGGAAGTCCGCCCGGCAAAGGCGAAAACCCAGCCGCTTTGGTTACGACGAGAACTTCAACCAGGTCACGTGTATCTTGATGTCAAAGCTCTAGCTGTCATACGGAGGGAGATGTATCGTGTTAGCTGCCTGCGCATGCGCCTTTTTGTATCTGCCTTTTGCTTATCACTGTTGTGTACCGCTTGGCTGTGATAATGCAGCTGCCCCACGACATATATATACCGGCACACTGCCACAAATAAAAGTTTTCTTCATTGTTGCTTCAAGGCTGCGTGTTTACTGCTGGACACCGCAACAAGCTTCTTAGTGACCGTGATCGTACTTTCTCGTTAGAAGTACAATACAGCGCATGTTATAATAAATAAAATCTATTCTAAGCTAAATTGTTGTAATAATACACAGTACTAGGCTGGGGTGTCAGCCATCGTCTTTATTTCTAAAACCTTCCTCCTCTTCGTCTCTCCCCACCCTGCCTAACGTCCACGTGCACTCCCCCTCATTCAGGACTCATTCCTCCTGGGGTGATACACGAAGACGTTTCCAATGGTCACAAACTCCAGCACACCGTCATCGTTGGTGTAACGAACCCTTTTGAGAACGACATGTTGCACTGCGATCTGCACGACGCGTTAAGGTCCCATATACACCTGCTTTGTGCCGGGAAGGCCTTTTCTGACGATCACCTGATCGTTCAGTTGTATCTGAGGTATCACATGTTGTGGCGGCGCTCGAAGTTCCTCTTCAAATTTTCCCGGTATCGCTGGTATGCTTCCGAAGTTTTTCGTTTTTCGAACAATTGCAAGTGGTCTGCAATGCAAAGTTCTTGATAAACAGGAAGCACTGGTACCTTTTTGGAAGCTGTAAAATATGGGCTACCGCCGATGCTCGCAGTGTGAAACCAATTGTGATGAGCTACAGCTGCCTACAAGAAGCACTTCTATCCACCCTGAAGACCTGGATACATTGAAGTGTACTTCTTCCAATTCCGAATGATTTTTTCAGCTATGTCATTTCCTGCAGAATGGTACAGAGTGCAGCGTCGCAATACAACTCCTTGTTCTTTTGCTCAATCTTGCAAACGCTGACTGAGAGACGCTGGTCCATTATATGATCTTACTATTTTCGTATTCTTGAACATCTCTCGACTCAAAAAGGAGTTACACTATTTGCATCTTCCCTTCCCGGCCATGCAGCCACTATTTTTGTGCCATGATTTATTGCCACTAGGAAATACTGCGTTCGTTTTACTCCTGCAGCCTTCTTCTGGAGCTCTGCGAAATCTAGATGAACGACTTCAAATGGTACGTCGGAATGTTGAGGCAAACCGTCTCGTCTGATCTCTGAAGGGACCTGGCTTTGTGAACTTGACATTGATGACGAGACTGAGTATACCGTTCAACGTCCTCTTTCTTGCGTTTCCACTGGAAACGCTGGCGAATCTTGTGATATGTCCTCCAAAAGTCATCACGTTCACCTGAGTGCGGAAAGTCGTGATAGAGTTCCAAAATTTGAGGCACCATTGTTTCTAGGACTGTGAACTTTCCGTTGTGGAACTTAAGTTCTTCAGTTTCCTCCCACAACATTGTTGCGTTGACATTTTCCTGATCCGGAATAACCGCAAGTCATGAAAGCGCATCTGCGTCCTTGAGGTGTTCTCCAGGCCTGTGGTGGGCCACGAGAGTAAACTGCTACAGTTCACTCACCCACCTTGCAATTTTTCCTCGAGCTTCGGCGAGGTTAAGAATATACTGTAATGCTTCGTGATCCGTAAAGAGCGTTAAGATCCTGCCGACCAGGTAAGGTCTATAATAGCGTACAAACATGAGGACTGCCAAGGCTGCCGTCTCTGTAGTCGTGTAGTTCAGTTGCGTTTTCGAAAAGGTGTACGAATAGTACCCGACGACCCTCTCTTAGCGGCTCCGTGGAGCGTCGATATTTCTCCGGTAAAGCACTGCGCCTGTGCCATAATAAGAAGCATCGGTGTTCATTTCAAAGGGCAACTTCAAGTCTGGAAGAGTCAGGACTGGACCTGATGAAATAATGGTCACAAGGCTGTGATAAACATATTGACACTCTGCTGTCTACTGAAAGGGCACAGTCTTCTTAGTCATTTCTGTGAGACCTTCGGTTTTCATCGCGTAATCTCTAATGAAAGGCCAAAAATGCCCTGCAAGACCCGGAAATACTCGCAAAAAGTGCAAGATATGGCTTCAGCATTTTTGCGATTCATTCGACTGATTCCTGTTTTGATGTCTTGCTTCGGCCATCTAATACTCTTTCGAAAAATACCATTTTACTTCGAAAAAACTCACTCTTCTTGTCAATAATTTTGAGCTCAGCGTCACAAAGTGCTTGATGAACACTAGCCAGATGGTTTGCGTGATCGTCCTTGTTGCGGGAGTACACTATTATATCGTCTGAAACGGGTTGTTGAACAAGCAGGCGAACTCGGCGAAGGAGAGCTTTATTTAGCGCAAGGGCTAACTTAACGCAAGCCTGCGATCACAGCAAGTCTTCTTCTTTTTTCTATCCTCGAGCTCCGTGCCCACTACCCTCGTTACAATCACCCCCGGCCGATGAGGGAGCCATCCTGGCGACCTAAGGACAGGTGTAGACAGAAGGGTCATGGTATGGATTAAGCCGAGAGATGTGTACGATTTCTTTTCCCCGACGGCGCTTGTCCGGAGATGCATCCAGCGGCTCGACAAGGTAGTTGACAGGCGATGTTTGGCGCACAACTCGATAAGGGCCATGGTACCTGGACGAAAGCTTGTGGGAGAGTCCTGGAGTAGTAGAAGGAATCCATAGCCACACCAGTGAGTTCGGAGCAAAGCTCATATGCGCGGTTGACGCGTCGTGGCGATGTTTTTGGCGCGTCTGGTCATGTGACGTGAACGCACGAGCAAGCTTCCGACATTCTTCAGCGTGTGCTGCTGCTCGAGAAACGGTAGTCATCTCTGAAGGGTCCGGTCGATAAGGAAGAATGGTATCCATTGTTGATGATGGCTCGCGTCCATAAAGAAGGAAGAAAGGCGAAAATCCAGTGGTGCTTTGCGTTGCAGTGTTGTAAGCATATGTTACAAAAGGGAGTATGCTATCCCAATTTGACTGGTCGGATGAAGCGTACTTGGCCAACATATCCCCAAGTGTACGATTAAAACGCTCTGTCATCCCATTAGTTTGCGGGTGATAGGCTGTGGTAATGCGGTGTGTGATGCGACACTCGCTCAACAACGCTTTGATGGCATCGGAGAGAAAAACGCGGCCACGGTCGCTTAGTAACTCCCGAGGTGCTCCATGCCTTAAAACCAGGTTTTGCAGTATAAAACACGCAACGTCTTTTGCGGTAGCAGAAGGTAACGCAGCTGTTTCAGCGTACCGCGTTAGGTGGTCGATAGCCACAATGACCCAGCGGTTGCTACTCGAAGTATAGGGAAGCGGACCGTAAAGGTCGATTCCGACACGATCGAAAGCTCGTGCTGGACATGGCAATGGCTGCAAGGGACCTGTGACATGTTGAGTGGGCATTTTGCGTCGCTGGCACGTAAGGCAAGACCTTACGTAACGGCGAACGAAACGGTACATACCGCGCCAGTAGTACCGCAGCTGCAAGCGGGTGTATGTTTTTAACACACCAGCGTGGCCACATTGCGGATCATCGTGGAACGTGGCACAGATGTCAGAGCGCAGATGTCGGGGGATGACGAGCAACCACTTACGGCCGATCGAGCTGTAGTTTCGGCGGTAAAGCAGGTTATCCCGAATAGCGAAGTGTCCTGCTTGACGGCGAAGCGCCCTGGAAACTGGAGCGGTCGTCCGGTTTGAGAGAAAGTCCAAAAGAGATGAAATCCAAGCATCTTTGCGTTGCTCGGAAGGCATGTCCGAGATGTTGATGGCCAAGACAGCACTAGTGGAGATAGGCGAGCCGACAGGCTCTGAAGCCAATGGCGAACGTGACAGGGCATCGGCGTCGGAATGCTTCCGGCCAGAACGGTAGATAACACGGATATCGAACTCCTGTAACCGCAATGCCCAACGAGCGAGCCGACCATTAGGATCTTTTAGTGAAGATAACCAGCAAAGCGCATGGTGGTCTGTTACAATATCAAACGGACGTCCATATAAATAAGGCCGAAATTTTCCGATTGCCCAAATAATGGCGAGGCACTCCTTTTCAGTTACACTGTAATTCTTCTCGGCTTTACTGAGGGTGCAGCTGGCATAGGCAACGACGTACTCGTCAAAGCCCTCCTTGCGTTGGGCCAGTATGGCCCCTAGCCCGACACCACTAGCGTCCGTATGAAGCTCCGTTGGAGCTGACGGATCGAAATGTCGGAGTATGGGAGGCGTGGTGAGGAGCCGTCGGAGTTCCTGAAATGCATCATCACACGCCTGCGACCACGCTG